AGACTTTAATTGTTTTGTTCACCCTATGAATATAACAAAACATGCTTATAACATGTAAAGCAAAGCAGAATTTCTGTCCCTGGAAAATCATTACAAGTGTGTTTTTACAATATTTTTTCAGAAAATTCATTTTACTTTTATCAATGCACTTACCAGAAATACCAGAGATTCCAGAAGGAGATTCTGTAGGTGTAGGACACAGCCTCTTCATCATCCATACAACACCTCCCCTCACAGCACGACTCACAGCTGAAGGAAAGAAAGTACTCAAATTACTGACACAACACCTAACTTCACGGCACGACTCACAGCTAAAAGATAAAAAGTAGTCAAATTACTGACACAACACCTCCCCGCACAGCACGACTCACAGCTGAAGAATAAAAAGTAGTCAAATAACTGACACAACACCTCCCCTCACAGCACGACTCACAGCTGAAGGATAAAAAGTACTCAGATTACTGTAGAAGTACTTTTTTCCGCGGGGTATTAATTTATGCTATGTACGCAGTCACAATTTATCTGCGGAAATTTCTCCAAGTTAACTAAATAAAAATGTAAGGCATATAGAGACAGTCTAGAAAATCCGCCTAATTTTCTACCTGCGGATTAAACAGAAATTGAGATTCCGAGGAATTATTACTCCATGGAAAAAAGTACGTCTACAGTACTGACACAACACCAACCCTCAAATTACTAACACAGCACCTAACCTCACAGCACGACTCACAACTGAAGGAAGGAAAGTACTCAAATTACTGACACAGCACCAACCCTCAAATTACTGACACAGGACCTTAAACCTCACAGCATGACTCACAACTGAAGGAAAGAAAGTACTGAAATAACTGACACAGCACCAACCCTCACAGTACGACTCACAGCTAGAGGAAAGAAAGTACTCAAATTACTGACAAAGCACCAACCCTCAAAATACTGACAAGACACCTACCCTCACAGCACGACTCACAACTGAAGGAAAGAAAGTACTGAAATAACTGACACAGCACCTACCCTCACAGAACGACTCACAGCTGAAGGAAAGAAAGTACTCAAATTACTGACAAAGCACCAACCCTCAAAATACTGACACGACACCTACCCTCACAGCACGACTCACAACTGAAGGAAAGAAAGTACTGAAATAACTGACACAGCACCTACCCTCACAGAACGACTCACAGCTGAAGGAAAGAAAGTACTCAAATTACTGACACAGCACCAACCCTCAAAATACTGACACGACACCTACCCTCACAGCACGACTCACAGCTGAAGGAAAGAAAGTACTGAAATAACCGACAGATTAACTACCCTCACAGCATGACTCACAACTGATTCAGAGGGTAATAGACCTCTCAAATTACCAACACAACATCTGCCTTTGTTATAATACATGTAGTAGGAACAAACTATGTTAAGCATCACAAAAACAATAGGAATTCTTATTTCTTGGCATATATGATGGTATTAATAAAAAAATCCCATAGTTTTTTGTACAAAACAGAACTATCCTTCACTAAGGAGAGTATACATTAAAAAAAATTATTATAAAACTAAAAAGGGAAAATAAATCTTGAAAAAGTATCACCAAAAATAGAAAAAAAAACAAAAACAAACTTATTATTGTAGAAAATCATAATCTAATGAATCAATATACTGTAAATGTACCTTTATATATAAGCTTGTAGGATATTTAGACATAATTTGATACTTTATCATGCTCAACAAGTTTGCAAAGATTGGATTTAGCACATGACTGAATGTGGTAGACATAGATGTCTGTATTTAGCAATGTACTTGATTTAGTAGCTAGAAGCTGCTTTCAACCAAAAATAGGCTTAATGAATTCAAAGCAAATGTAATTCATTTAGCCTTAGGTATCTCTGTGCTAATGCAACATACTGACCAGAATACTATTTAATTACTGTAAACCAACTTTTATTCGCGTGCAAGAAATATCCGCGAGTTTCACTATCTACTTTAATTCACGAATATTTATTGCCGTGAACCATATATTTTGCTTTATATTGGTAGACAATATTTCCTCAGTCACGAAAACAAATTGTCAACAATTGATTTCAGACTGACAAATCACGAATAAAAGATGACGCGAATAATCGTTGGTTTACAGTAATTAATTAAAAACTTATTACTTTCAATTTATTAATTGTTACTCATTTGTCATATTCACTCAAAACATGTTTGACACAAAATTTACTCACCTTTCTCCCGTTTTGGGACATATTATACCAGAAACCTGTAATAAAAAATAATTAGTTTGAAAATGATATCTTAATTTTTTTTTTTTTTTGATTATATGGATCATATACACCAGTCATCACTGAAAGAGTCCATAATTGTAATGTATATTAAGTACTGAAATAATTTTCTTTTCCTCGTGCACACATGATGCAATAAAAATAACTTTATAAGAATAATGTAAGTCTCTCACAGCTATGATATAATTCTGTGTACAGTGATGTAGGGGAATGTACTTACGAACTGCCATTTTATAACACCATAAATAATACGTTTTTGGATTTTTTCCCCAATAGTCATATCATATTTCATAAAATAAAGGTCATTGTATTCTGCAGATAATGAAAAACAGCAGGAAAGCTCTTTTTTTTTCTCAAGATACCAATAAAAAACAACCATTTTAAAATACTATAGATTGGCAAATAATCACGATGGTTTTAATTTCGCTATGTTCGCGATTTATCATTTCTTCGCGAAATTAAACCCATCATGAATGCTGTTATTAGTTTTTAAAGATGTTAATATGCTTTTAAGAAACTTAAAATTAATTTCCTGCAGCGTGAAATTAAAACAAACGCGAATGGTACATTTTGAGAAATCATGAAATTTTATCACCGTGGAATTAAAACGATTTACAGTATTCCTTACACAAAAGTGACAAAAGCTGAAAAGATTCTTTTAGCGTTTCTTTTCATATGACATTTCCAAAAGAGAACTAACGTTATATGCTAAAAACTTCCTTTCAAGCCCAAGGTAACTGTAATGAATTAAATAACATTTTACACCATTAAGAATACAAAATACACATATTTCTTGTTTTTCAAATCAGATCATTTTAATTTGATAAAATAAATAATTGAATTGAAAACTTTTGGAAATTGCCCAGAAGACCATATGGGCTAATATATAAAATAATTTTCATAGTATCGAGGGGAAGTATTAATTAAAGCATATTTTTAAATAAAAATTTAGACATTCTTGTCACATCCACACCCCCCTACCCAAAATTCAATGAGATCCAAGCAACAAAACATGTACACTGAAAATGTAGTACAAGGTAAATATTTATTCTTATGTGTGGCCGTAGAGAATCTAGGGTCACATGATTTGTTGAAATAAATAGCAGATCACATGGTTGTTGGTTATTCTAACTAGCTTGGTTCTTGGAATATCAAGAAAATCAAGTATATCAAGAATATAAGAATATTTTAATTGTGAAAAAATGGATGATACACATATGGAATCTTCCATAGGATACTTTGATTTGGCATGTACATTCATATTTTGAATCAAACTGTGCAGTTTATAGTATTTGTTTGATATAGATAGAAAGTACAGTATTAGAATCATTATACTGAATCTTGAAAATGTTGTGTATATAGAAAATGAAGAGCTAGCGAGCAGCATTGTGTTTACGACATATATGTTTGTTGATTGTTAAGCACTTAATTATTTAATGTCATATTAATTGGACAAAGTGAGAGAAAATATAATTTTTCTTTAAAAATTAGGAAACATAATCTCACCGATATTCAGTAACATACTTACTTTCCATACTGAGTGAAAAAAATTTACTAAGTAAGCCTATTGTTGTAATTTCTCCAGGGACCTTAATTAATATAGGTACATATCTTGGGGAAAATATTTACAATCTTAAAATTATGAATTAAAAGAGACTTTAACAAATGCATATATATTCATAAGAAAAATGGTGTTATCTATACCTCAGTAACCAGTATAACAAATTGAACTTGGTTGAATAATGAAGGGATCTGGATATGTTGCCCTACAATATGGCGGCTAAGGGGAATAACTCCTAGACAAAATGTGGCATAGGAAAAGGGTCTATTACCATGTTTACACCATATTCATTATTTACATGCACCCTTGAAATATTCATATTGAACAGAAGATATCATTTTGAACTTCTACATTTGACCATTTTCTCAAGCATTATCTAACACTAAAATTTAAGAGAAAAGGGGGGAGAGAGAGAAAGGGAGAGGGGGAAGGAGGGAGACTCAGAGAGAGAATATCAGACAGCCTGCCAGCAGCATAAGGTGGAAATTAACTGTTGACATTTATCATACCTCAGTAAATAAGACCAACAGCACTAACACAACGCCAGATATTTTAGAGAGTCCATCACAGCTCCCCATTTCTCCATAGAAACATTTCATTGCGTGTTTTTCCAGCTTCAGCACCAAAAAATCGATTGCCTTTGTTCTCGATATTTCTAGCATTCCGAACCCGATAGAAATTAACTTTTAACGTTATGTACAGAAAGCTGCTGCTGCTGGAAATCCTCACGAACAACAGGTACTTGTATAATTCAAAAATTATTTGATTCAATCGCGGATCTTATGATGTTTCTTCTTAAGTTCTGAAAGGTGTTTTTTTTTTCATGTTTGGAAAATGAAACGAGTCAAAGGGTGAAAGACCTGGCGAATATTGTTGGTGCGACAAAACAGTAACTTTCCGTTTATCCCCTAAACTCCTTTACTCTTCATTGTGTGTTGGTTTGGACGCTGTAATGAAGAAATTTAATGTAGTAGATTCCTGATTCTAGTTCCTTCCTCTCATAAACTTCAGTAGTAGTTTCGATTTTTTTTTTTTAAATTGCTTTCTAGGCTTCTCCAGAAATTTAACTGCCCACTAGAATAAGAATTTTACCAACAAGACCACTCATTTTTAAGAATGGCATATGAAACTGTTTTTTGTGCTTCTGCAAAAATTCTTTGCTCTTCTACTTTAATGTTAGATGAAATATTAAGGAAATTTTTGATACAATTGAGAGATTTAATTAAGGTCTTCCGTTTCCAAAGGAAGACCTTCTACTGATTCTGATGATTAAGATTATTCTTATTATTCTTTTTTTTTTCTTCCTAGACGCCAACTTTGAGGCCTCATATCTCACTCATTTCTCAATGGATTTTGCTCAAATTTTCAGACATTATAGACGATAATAAACTCTATCAGAATGCTGTCTAAAATTTCAAAAAGTCACTTCCGGTTTTGAGTTATTTCCCTTTAAACGAAAATTTATAGGCTTTCATTTCCAGACAAAGGCTCAGAGACCACAAAAGCTGGAGCAGAAATTTTACTGGTTTTAGATAACAGAAGGATTGAAGTTGTGCACATCGGTTTTTGTTTTTCGATTTCTGTATTCAAAATGGCGCTATACAGGGGTCAAAAATTAGAACGCCTAAAAGAGCGAAAATTAACACATATTTTCCTTTTTATCTTGAAAACTAAAAATATTTTGTTAAGACATGTAGAATAAAAGTTGTGCATAATTGCACGAGCTTTCATTTAATATCATTTAAAAGGGGATGGCCCCTAAAATTAGGGATCTAGGGCCCTTGAAAATTTTTGCTTTATAACTCAAAAAAGGTAAATATTTCGGAATGACTGTCGATTATAAAGGTTTGCTTTAACATCTTATTATCTCATGAAATTGTTTTGTTCGAGTCTTGTTTTAAATGAGCTAGATACATGACCCATATATGTACAGGTAATTCTTTTCACTCAGCACGTAAACGCGAGCTCCTCAAGCGTGTAAACCAAAACAAACTTACTATAAATGATAAACATGGCTACATTGGATGCTAATATTTTTTAGAATAAGGTTCTTGAAGTGTTTTGTGTTTTTCCCCCAAATTATCATGATTATTCACTGACAATTTTCCCTTTTATTTCATTTTTTTTTAAATCGTATAAATCAAGTCTACTAAAAATGGAAGAAAAGATAATCTTTTCTTCTTATCATATAAAAACAAACAATATAGTTAGAAAATAAAACATAACTGTAAAGCATATACTATTCACAGCCATTAAGTGCACGCCTTTTACATTCACCTTGTTTGTTTACGATTATATAACGCGCCTCCCTCGATAACGCGGGGCAAAGTCGGTCACCGGGAATCAATCGGCGTGTTATCCAGCGACCCCCAGTCATATACACAAAAGAAACCACAGAATGGATAAATTTAATTAATATGTTGAATCTTTCAGATTATTTCATAGTATCTTTGACTGATTATGTCGCTAGTGCATTTCATTCAATAATTTATTTGCTGAATTAAATGAAAGTTGCATATAATTATTTTTTTTTATAGCAAATGTTTTTCTCGATATCGAGGTCATGATCTGTTTCACCTCAAATACCATCGAAAATATGCTCCTTTGATTAATTTCTACTAGTGATAGATTTTTTGTATCTTAAGTTAAATGTACATGTATGTAAGTCAATATACGTTCTTTTGTCGGCGTCCTTAAAATGTACAACTGTATACGTCCCAAATATACAAATATCGAGCGTTTTATCAGAATACATCAATACAAAATCCCACATTCACACGCGCGTCCAAAGTATGTAGATTGAGACACACATGCGTAACTTATTCCATTGGACAACTAATTAACCTTGAACAAATAATTATTTTCTATTTAACTTGTAATTTTTTGCGAGCAGGTTTCCGTTTATTTTTTCTTATCAGCTCTCGTAATGCTTCATTAAGGTTTTACGGAGACATATAATGTACATGCATGCAAGTACAGAACATGCACGTTTTATAATTAAAGTATAATGCATATGCAAGAGTGCCCAAATATACGCATGTAGAGCCTAATCTGCGTTTGAAATACAGACATTAGAGTGAACTAATTATAGGTCCGCAGAGTTGATTATGAGTTGTTTTTATAACGGGTAGCCCATCCTGTCCAGTCATCGTCACGGTTTGTAACCTCGTAATTACACAGGTAAATACTAAGGTGTCAATCTATATATTTTCACCTATATTTTCCCCCTAAAAAAATAAATTACCGAGAGATGTATCATTTTCTCCTATCATATATTAATTGACAGTATTTATGAACAGCTGTTAAAACACAGGCCTGTGTAAACGGTAAATCAAAAGAAAGGAAATCTGGGGTATGAAAAACAGAAAATATATATAATGCCTCATTCTCTGAAGATTACGTTGTCTTCAGATAACTAAAATACATGTACCAGTAAATTAATGTCTGTCGAATTTTATTTTAATGATAACATTTACTGGTGTGTACCTGTACACGCAGTGTGTCACTTTTTCTAAGCCTTCGCCCAAACGAACAATTTAGCAAATCTTGAATGAATTAATTTACACTATCCCTTCTACATATCCACACACATTCGCCTATACCTAAAATCTAATAAAAATCAGATTTGTGACCATTTCTTTATTTTATCAAGATCGGTTGTAATTAAGAGATCATGTAGGAGTATTAATATTAGTGTCCACTATTGCAAACAGTGATGTATCGTCCACGAATCAATTTCATTATGTATGCCCTGTTACGACGCACTTTGAAAAATTACACACTTTGAAAAATATTTTCAAAGTGCGTTAAATTTGGGACCAAATCAACGCACTTTAAAAAAATAAAATTTCTTTTCAAAGTGTGTTAATATCGACCATATAAATGCACTTTGAAAAATGTGTATGGCTTGGTCAATATTCTTGCAAATCTTAGATATGATAGAAATAATTGAACCTGTTTGATAACTCTTCGGTATGGTCACTTTACGATATGAAAGTGAGTGATTTTGATTTTTCCATATATGTACTTTGAAAATTCTTTCTCCCTTAATTATTTTACTGAACTAATTTTTTTTTTACAGTTTTCATGCATTTTATGTAAACTAAAATTTATTGAAAAATTTTAACGTCATACCAGTTATATTGTTGTGAAGCATAAGCATCTGTACGGCGGGGGGGGGGGGGGGGGGGGGGGGGGGTCACACAAATGTTTTGCAAATACATTATATAGGCATTAAAAATTGGGGCTTACCTTGGGGGTGTATCCTATTTCAATTTAAATTATTAAAATCTATAAGTCTAGAATTTGTTTTATGCATTTTTTTCAAAGTGCGATGCCACAATGCCCTCAGTTATGTCATTACAGTTTACATCCACCTCTGTTGCCTTGTGTCAAAAGTTCAAAACGTTTTGCACCCTAGTCCTCGTTCACACGTGCGTGGCCGCAAAGAGCCGTGGGCATGTCGGTGTTAAAAATACATCGTGTACTCCGATAGTTATAAATGGAAATAATTGTAAGTGTACCAGTAAGTGACGTTTCCAACTCAAGGGAAAAACCCGAAAAGAATATTTCAATTGCAGAATTTTACGGGAATATGCTTGTGCATGCAAGTTTAATTATATACATGTATTCATTTTTACATGTACAAAAGTGGCCAAAATATATGCACACTTTTGAGAGATATATCCAAACCTTAGTCTAGAACAGATGATCTAACCCCTGTGCCACACGGGCGGTGCTCAGATTTGAAGAATTAATTCAAGACATTTTTATCAAACTTTAGTATGCTGATACACTTTAACCTTGCACTTTCCTGTGACCTTTACCTCACTTGTCTTTAATTTGCATTTTTCTTAGTATTAAAGAAACCATTTGAGATATTTTTATGTAAGCTTATGCATTATTTGAAGGGGATTTTATAATCTATATCCATTTTTTAAGATTTCAATTTTTAAGAAACTATTCAAGATATTCTCAACAAACGTCATACATTAATACAGATTTTAATGTTGCATTATGTACTAATATACACTTGGCGATGCATTCATGTCCTATAGACATATTTCTAGTTAAATCCTTAGCTAAATCATAGTGTTGAACCTAATAAATTCTTCCGATTTGATACTGTATATGCTCAGAAAAAATAAGGCTGAACATATCCATTCATTCAGACAAGTCAAGGTTACTGACAGAGAAACTGTAAATTCGCTACAGTATTTGTACCTGTGAAACATTGTTGATACATGTATAATACAGGGTGGGACATGATCTTGACTCAAGTTCAAGGTCACTAAAGATAAGATGTTTTGGCTGGATTCATGGACTAAAAGAATATATAAAAAAACATGTGTGTACTTTTCCAGTCGGTAATACACATACCGTATGATCCTTATTAACCACCCCTGCCCCCATAAGCGCCCCATAGGTCTTTTTTCAATTACAAGAAAACAAGGGCCCCCTCTACAATGATTAAAATCATCTAGAATCGTATCAAAAGTCTGCCAAAATTTGAACAAAGTGAAAATGTAACTTGTCTATTATCCAATTTCTCAGTGGAGAATGAATCATATCGCAAAAATTGGGTGGATTATCCTCACTTAAAGTAAAGTTCGACATTATTTTAGCTGTTCTTTAAAATTTTTGAAGTATAAGAATGACATTAAATATTAATATGAACAGAATACCAAAATAACCGCCTCCTTTTCGAAATTTTCTAAGCGCCCGGGGCGGTTAATAGGGATTATACGGTATTAGATTTTTATAACAGAGTTTGTCATTGCATGACGCAAGGTCATTTAGAAAGTTCAAGTTCACATACATTCCTTTACAGCATTTTTCATGGCGAAACATTGCTTGACGCAAGGTCATTTAGAAAGTTCAAGGTCACATACATTCCTTTACAGTGTTTTTCATGGTGAAACATTGTAAGTTTCTTCCTTTACAAGCCTTTAGGTTGCTTACTTGTATATATATATATAATGCTTGACCTAGACTCAAGGTAACGTCTTCCTATCCGTAGCTCCAACGGAAGACCTATTCGTTGCTTTGCAACGAGCTCGGCTCTAGTTTTTCACCATATTTGTTGCGCTATAGGCGTATCGCTCGTAGCTCGTTATGTTCACCCATCTCCTTACACCTTTAAGTAATTAATCTATAGGCCTTTTAAATGTTAAGAACTCTTGAATTAATATTAATTACAAGTGTACTATTTCATTTCATCAAATACATGGGACAGGTTGGATATGAAATCGAACATTTTTTTTTAAAGAAAAGTAAATATACGACTAACATTAATGTCTTTATTTAAAGATACTTGCGTGATTTACATCTTGCATTGAGACTCATATTTGGAAAGAGAAATTGTCAAGAAATCTTTTAAATTAATCAATTTCATATGCATAAATTTGTCTATTTCTCATCAATTCAAGTGTTGTCTAATACTCCAAAAGAAAGTAAAAAATATGAAAAGAATATCAAAAAGATAAAAATGAATTTTCTAAAAAAAAAAAAATTTATACGTGCTTGTCAAATTAATTAAAACGCCGTTCGTTCCAATCAACTGCAATGATATCGGTACATATGCACTAACTATAAAAGGTGGACGTAAAATTTATAAGCCAGATCATGGATTAGTTATACATAAGTAATCACTGCAGTATTGCAGAAAAGAATTTCTCCAACTTATTAAACACATGCAATCGGTAATTAAGAAATATTCAATTTCGATCTATGAAAGTTTAAAAAGCAGCACATGTAGATATTTAAAAGTTCAAAAAGTTTCATACATAAATCCATAGATTAAAAAGGCTTTGATCCTTTTTATGGAAACAAATGTTTCAGGGTTCAAGCCAAGATCGCTATATTTAATTTAGCGTCGATACAGATAGACAAACAGACAGAGCATAAGAGGATCAGCAGGCATAGTTTTCAAGAAAAACAGTCTCCTCATTATATATCTGTGGTTGGGGCGGCATATAAATGGAACGCGTCCTTTGGTTTCTACTCTTTAATCACTGTTTTGTAACCTTCGTATGTGGATATACGTTAACTGATGAACAGAATTTACACACTGCTCTCCTGACGGGATACAACAAGGACATACGCCCCGGCACGGATAGAAGTAACACTCTGGTCATAAACGCTTCCTTCCTTTTGTTATCTATCAACGAATTCGATTTAAATGCAGGGAAATTATCCCTCACTGGTGTCTTCGCCATAAGTTGGTTTGAGGAGAGATTTGCTTGGAATCCAGCCACGTATAACGCATTAGAAATGACTGCGATTCCACAGACAAAGCTATGGCTACCTAATTTTATCAACACCAATCCTTATGAAGATATTCGGGGACTGGGCAGTGACCTGCTTACAGTTGATGTGTTTTACACAGGAAAATGTACCTGGTTTCCTTTGCAAGCATACAAAGTAATATGTGATGCTGATGTCACAAATTTTCCTTTTGATACCCAGAAATGTTTTATGAAGTTCTTCATTTTTGGTTATCAGCCTAATGCTGTAAATGTTAAATTCACATCACCGCGCGTCGATTTTGACTTATATTCCGAAAATGGAATATGGGAGATCTTGAATTCCGAAACGTACTCGGTGTTAAACATTTATGGACTTGAGGACATTTTTGTAGTATTGCATCTAAAAAGAAGAACAGCTTACTACATAGTTAGCCTGATTTTACCAATATCAGCATTCTCGCTTTTAATGGGATTCGTTTTTCTTCTGCCGAACGAATCAGGTGAAAGGCTGGGTTTTTCCACCACGGTTCTGTTATCCATAGTTGTTTATCTAACGATCATCCAGGATATGTTACCAGCAGTATCCGAACCCAACGTATCCATATTAAGTTACATGCTAGTGACGTATGTGGTGAGCGGGGCTCTTGTAGTTGTCTTCGTCATCATAAGTTCCCGGATTCAATCATGTCCCCATGAGAAGCCTGTCCCTCGATGTCTAGCTCGACTAGTAATATGTTTTCGAAAGAAAAGAACGGAAATTGACGTCGTGGAAAATCTCCAAACGAAGAGTGAGATGACTGACGATTATGACGTCAGCTGGACAGACGTGGGAAGAGTGTTCGATATGACCTGTTTTATCTTATCAGCAGTTCAATTTATAGTCGCCAGTGTAACCTATTTTCTGCTTGTGGCCAAATAGTGTTACATTGTTCATATGTGTACATCCCATGATTGTTCCTTGATGAGGAAGCAAAATAAAATCAGGAATTTGAAGACCGTCTTGTGAATTGCAATCATTTATAATTATTGATAAACTTTTCTTCGGGTCTCAAGAATAGAATATTTATCGTAAATGTGGTGTCTGCTAATGATTGTTACATAGGATGATTTTACCCTATCTTTGGACTTTCAGTAGGGCGTGACTTTCTCAGCGCTACGTAATGGCGAATACTAGTAGATTCTCATTGGTTACGAAATTAATAACATAGGAACTTAAAATTGTTGTTGATAATGACTTATTTCCCACCTCTTTGCCGCGAGAGAACTTTTAATTGGCTATTCACTACACCAGTTGACATTCGGCCGCATTTCTATCATATGTATATTTCAACAGTGAAGGGAAGCTTTGTAAATTTCAGAAGCTAAATAGGCAAAGTCGAGAATGCCACGCCATACTGAAAGTCCAAACTAAGCGTGTAATTCTTCTAAAAATCACAAAATGATTCGACTACTCTCTGCAGTAAATGTCCATTCAAACAGCTCCCCGTTTACCTTTACTCCATGCAATTATAATCATTTTATCCGTAGTTAGTTTTATTTGAACTGTAAAGATCGTGGTGAAAGCATTAAACTATATACACTGCACTGGTAGTTTTTGAATACAATGTACAGTTAACTGTAGGCCTTCGACCCTTGATGCCAAATTTTTGTAATGTTAAGAAGCATCCCTCCTATCCAATGGTTTTTTTTTTTCAAAATTCAGTCACAAAAAAATGAAGCTAAGACCAACTCTTTGAAAAAGTTGTTACAGCATCCAATTTATGTCACTTTTTGTGCTATATGAGTGTGTTGCCATTTTGTTTGTTATTCTTATCAATTTTGTAGAAATCGTTTTTAATTATGCTCCATCTTGCAATGTATCTATGGTAATCATTAATACTTAAAATTCAATAAATATGATTTGAGAGAAAAAAAATTAATTGATTTTTTTTACATCATTTATTTAGTATAAATCATACAATATGCATAATTATATAGAAGCTTCTAAAAATGTAAAATGTAATTTTTGAAACATGATACTATGCAATCAAATGTAAGTAATACATGTAATATACGTACAGTAAATAGAAGTTAACAGAAAAAGTACATATGTTTGATATGCATTACAAGTAAATAACAAGCATAATTTGTATAAGATTAATAAATTCAGTTTGCATATGATTATAAAGGCACAAATTCTAGGTTTCCACTTTTGAAATTTATCTGTGGAAATTCAGACCTCCTGTTGATAAGATATTAGGACTTTACGGCTGCGTAGAGGGTCACCACGAACGTGATCAAGATTACCACGACCCGGATGTAATGACGTCTGATCCAACGGGAAGTCGCCTGTTTGACCCAATCAATGCCTGTAAATTCAGGAGGGATGTCAACGTTAATTAAGAAATGAATATATTTTTTGAAGATTCATGAGGTTATGAACTACGACACTTTATGCCGGTATCTTTCATGACGCGCGTTAGCGTTCATGATAAATACCGGAGTATGCCGGCGTAAACACCCATTCTCAATATAAGGGCACAAATGCCTCTCTGATTTTTAAAAAAATGAAGTTCAAGATAACAATTTTTCTATCAATTACCTTTGAAAGAAAGTATGTGAAGATTTTGTTTCCAGATTTTTTTTCATCAAATTTTAATACATGGAATAAAGACAAGACGGTAAAGTAGAGGGTGATTTTATTCAGAAATGTAGCTTGAAATGTACGTTACTCTTTCTTCAATGTCCAAAAAAATATGTCAAAAAAAATGTAGTCATTAAAATCACAATTGGAATATCTCATCTTAACACCAGCACATCCTACCAACTCTGTCAGCAACATATTTTCTCGGCATACGAACGTGCGTTTGATTTTTCCTTTCAAAAAACAAAGGTTACTTTTTGATCCAGATGTACAAAAACATTTTTTTAATATATGCTTTAAATTCTTCTCTCTGTTTTGTTTAGAGCAATCAGTTTGGAATCTTTTTATTTTCTATAAATACTGGAACTTAACATGTACATGTAGTAAAATTCTATTTTGTAGTTACTGTCTTTTTTAACATATATCCATGCCGATTTAGAAAGCTACGTAAATGTAACGTACATTTCAAGATATATTTCTGTTTAATAAAAAGATTAAAATTAATCTAAAATTCATCGTTTTGTTTCAGTTTATTCCAAAAAAGATTCTCTATGTAATCACATTGTGTTATATGTCACAATCACCACTATAAAGACACGATTGCCTCAGAATATGAGTAGGTAACGTACATTTCAAGCTTGTAATAATATGTAAATTAGTAATAAGAAAATATTGAACAAAAAAGCAATTATTGACATAAAAATCATTTCAATGAAGCGTTTTAACGCAGTAATATAAGAAATCATAATGTAACAAACAAGATATATTTGTCATCAACTACATGAATGCCACGTCACTTCGGTAACGTTCATTTCACATATTATTGGGGAGTCCCCTCCACCTCAGTTCATTACCATTCTTTTGTGCTGTTTCGCTGAAATTGACACCGGTCGTAGCCTAGTTACTTCTACCTGTGTGCAAGGGTACAGACAAAAAAAAATAAGTGTCAGACGACAGACGTATTTTGCTATGATCTAACAAATGCTCGTGTTTGGCCATTGAAACTTAACATAAATCTATTCCGAATATATCCATCGACAGTAGTGTTAACAATTTCATTTAGTATGTTGCAACATCGTTTGTCAAAACACAAACATAAGTGCTTTTCAGCAGATCTGGAAAAATATAACCCAAAATGCAATGATTCAAACAAAACTGAGTATTGTGTGCCTTTCAGTATTTGAAATGTACGTGACCGTCTTGTGTTCTGGGTTTATTTGTTTTGTTTCTTTTTCTTTTTTTTTTTTTAACAATTATAAGCCTATGCATACCTTGTTTTAAATTATCAACAACAATTAAATTAATCTTGACGAAAAGTCGCATATTAAAAGTAAACAAACTGCAAAAAGGTTGCCAAAGATGAATTTAAGACACTTAGAAACAAATTTTCTAGCATATGGTAACAGTCTACCACATTTACGAGGATTGGGGGTGCAATTAGATGGATTTATGTGGTCAGTTGTCAAATGGATTGTAACGTTAATTTTGTTTCGCTCGTGTAAACGCAATTCATTGACTAAATAAAAAAAAATGTCAGTTAAAAATACGCAAAATGTACGTTACCATATGTAACGTACATTTCAAATATAAAAATTAATTCTCTTCCACAAGCGTACGTTAGACACGCAATATATTGATAATATTTGAACTTGCATATCATAAGAAATGCATCATACAGGTTTCGTATTCAGAAATATATACCAGGTATCAAAATTATATTACATATAATTGACCTTAATATATTTTTTTTCCTCAGCAGAAACGTTTCTTTTCATTAATTTTGGGATTTAGCCGACCTCCAACCTTTGAAACTTTCCTTTGCGTACACATTCGAGTGTGTGAAAGTATGAGAATACATGAAAATTCGTGCGAGATTCACTTAATTCGAATTTCATGGTAACGTACATTTCAGTAACGTACATTTCAAATGATTACTTTTCACGTAAAAAATAATTTTTAATTGTGTTAAGCAAAACGTCTTTGCCAGTTTACAGGATACAAGGAGTTGCTTATTCAGAGTCGTCTCATATTTTCTACTTAATATATATTCTTAATGGAAGAATATAGGTAACGTACATTTCTTTCTTATCTCTACGATTGAAAATGTCTTTCATTCCGTAAACATATTTATAAAAGTTGCTCAAATTGTTCAATTTCATGTTACATTATGTAAGTAGGAGTAATTAATCCTTTGAAATTTCAAATTTAGCCCATCAATAAATAAAGGAGAACAAAACTATCAGGTGTATAATCTTTGTGTTTGCTTGTAATGTAGTTGAAATAGAATTAAGCGACAGGGACATTGCACAATAAAAATTATTTATTATCACAAAGAAAATGTGTTTATTGTTATGAAAAGAAATATATATGATACAAGGTTTAACTTATCAGAAAATGTTTACTTGAGAATCAAAACTATATATTACACAGAGGGGATTCAGCATAACATTTGCCTCGGCGACAGTAACGTACATTTCAAATAGGCTACTATATTTGAATTGGAACTACTTAAATACCCTTTCAATAAAATTATAAATTCTTATTATTGTTATATGACTATTTATAATGTTGATTTAAAAATTAATCAGTGGATTTCTTCTAAATGAAAATGAGGCGAATTATTTAGCCCTTATATTGAGAATGGGTGAAAGCGTTGTAGTTTATACCTCATTACTTAAAAAATTAAATTCATTTCTAATATTTACACAATTTATCTGTTGAGTTGCCACAAAATTTATTCCGTTAAACTGTCTTTTTAAACAAAACATTTTTGCCAAGTTTTAGAAGTGGGTTTTATAACAAAATTGAATATTCACTCCCCAATTGTAGTTCAGGGAAAAAATAAAAAGCCCCCCTTTTAAAAATCCTTAAAAAACTATTTGGAAAATAAAATTTGTAAAATTTTTAAAGCCTTAATTATTCAGGGAATGCCCCCCCCTTTCAGGAAAAAAATAGGAAAAAAGAACGGTTAAAATTAATTGCAGCTGGATATAAAAGATTTTATTAGCGCAAACTGTATAGCTCTCCGAAAAATATACTGACAGCCATATGAAATATAGCTCTCCAAAAAAGAATTTACATTACCGGTCTGTCAAAATTTTTTTTCTTCGGAGAACTACAGTTTTGCAGCTAAAAAGAAGTTATCTAACCTTTCTGCATTTGACTTAAAATAATAGGATTTTTAATTTGTTTTTAGGTTTAGCTCACCTAGCTGAAGGCCCAAAGGCTAATTTACAAATAACCCTAAGATTTTTAATCCATTTTTTCCCCAAATTAAGGTCACATTGTTATGATGT